TACGGCGCTAATAATGATGGTGTTGGGATAAGGGAGTCCCCCGGGCTGGAGTAGGACGAGGTCATGGTGAGGGGCAGTAGCGACACCCCTCACAGGTTGAGCGTGTCAAGGCGGTCGCCCGGAAGGTCACAGGGCCTTTTGACGGATGTTGGAGCAGATTGGTTGGTTGTATTAGCTGTAACTTTACGTGTGAGTGATGAAAGTCAACTGGGCGGCAGGGAACTAGACGAGTACAAATGGTGTGATGTGTGGACAAATGTGGAGGCGGCCACTGCGACACTCGCGCCTCTGGACTGACATGAACTAATTTATCCGTGTCAAGGGAGGGGCAGTGGATGGCCTCTTGCTGCTCTCACTGTTCACTATCATGAATGGTCTTGGTTTACTGTTGTGTTTTCGTTATACCTGTACGGTTTATTTGTGTAAACATCATTGCTGTTGAAATTTGCTGTAGAACATAATGAATTTATATTGTGAGGTTCCAATTTTTTATTTTGAGATACTAAACTTTCTTTGCGTGTACATACTGTACATACAAACATAAAATAAATACATACATACATACATGTGTACTAGTCATGTGTGGGTGGGCGGGGTGCCAGGTAGAGCCACACCTGTGATGCACGGTGCCGCGGCGTCTGACACGGGCCAGTCAACGTTCACCTCGTATCTGTCTCGGGCCTTGGCCAGTGTCTGTGAGGGGTAACGCTGTCATTGACACACTGTACACCCCCCCCCCTGGGTCACGACCACCCAGGCATTCACCTACTGCTAGTGGCCTGTGTGTGTGTGTTGACGGTGATGAGGGACGACTATAGTGATGTTAGCTTATGTATGGACCCGTCAAGGTGGTCCTCTCTCACTGTCTTCTCAACCTTCGTCCCTTTACTCCTGTCACTGCAACTACCTCGCCTGTGTCCTTGCTCCTCCTCTTTATTATTCCCCTCTGTTCTTGCTTCCTCCTTCCCCATACCTCCCCATACCTCCCCATCTCCCGCTGCCCATATCTATTCTCGTCACCATTCCCCTTACCCCCTTAGTTTTTCCCCTCTCCACCTGTTGTAACTCTTTTCCTTAACTTCCTCCAACCTTTATTCTCTCTCCATCTTAATTCTCCTCTAACCTTTCTTTTGGTACCTCCCTCCACTTCACACAACCTCCCTATACCAGAATTCACCCTTAAGGTCGGCGGAACGTGAAATATGGCCTTCAGAACGCCTGTGTATGGGATAGGGCAGGGTGTCTAGTGCCAGTGCCGGCCGAGTAAACGTGCAGCCAACCAGTCAAATGGCTCTAAAATTATCTACAATAACTAGCCCAATGCATAATTTCACCACACTGTTAGTTTGGTTAATTTTGGAACTGTTAGCACACAATCTTGCAAAAAGCTGCCTCATATTCTTCCTTGACTGCTCTTCCCTCCTTCTCTAAATTACCCTCTTGACTCCCTCCTCCATCGGTGTCTCTCCTGACTTTCCCCATGCCTCCTCCCTTGGTACCTACCCCTCACACTTCCACGAACCGCGATATTAATAAGCGCTCACGACCTTTTTACACTGCACAGTAGGTCTGGGCTCCACCCCGGGGGCGTGACTCAAATGTTGCACTATTGAAAATATTTGCGTTTGTTTTATCATCTCAAGATGGATCGTCATCGTTAGGTGAAAGATTTCTCGGTAATGTGGATCTTTAGTGTAAATGTTTGCAAAGGTGGCGCAAGGGGGTGTGTGTGTGTGTGTGTGTGTGTGTGTGTGTGTGAAGACGGTCTGTCCTTAGGTGTTTACCTTTAAGCTGGTGGGGCTCGGGTATTTGGGTGGTGGTGGGGGCGGGGGTAGAGGAGCAAATGGGGGGGTCTTGAGGGAGGTTGGGGGAGGGAGGTGGTGAGGAGGAGGAGCTGGTCTATGACACGCCTGCAGTGGGATCGTTGGTGTGTCGTATAACTCCTCTACGTCATGTTTATTTACTGCCAATGTTCTTTCTCATGGGGACCGTAATTTAGCGTGACAATTTTAATATGGCAGGTTGTGCGTGTTTGACAGTAGGTTAACGTGCCACAATGCTGTATTTAATGACCATCTTTCTTGTATGATCTGCTGCTGTCACTTTTTTTTATTTTTATCGCGGCATACCAGGAGGGTGACAGAACGGGGGGGAGGAGGGCTAGCTGGTGGTTGTTGGGATTGATGATGGGTGGCTGTGGATAGGTTAAGCGGGGGAGGCTGGGTGAGTGAGTGGTTAGTATGGCAGGCGATTGGTTGAATGAAGGGTGGGATGGTTTTGTACGGAAGGTGGGTGGCTGAGGGCGCTGTTACGTGGTTTCATGTGGCAGGTGAGTGGTTGATGTAAGTACGTAGTTTGTGTGGAAGTGGAAGGGTACATGGGTGGTGTTGTCGAAAAAGACATGGTTGGCGAGTTAGACTGTTGGTTGAAGGGTAGGTGGTTTGTGTGGCAGGTGGTTGTTTGGGAGGGCTGGTACGAGGTTATGTGGTTGTTAGGTAGTTGAGGAACGTGGTTGCTGTGGCTGGTGGTGGTTCAGGCACGTGATAAACCGTACACGTATCAAAGGTAACCTACACCAGTGCCAGGGCAGGTTGTCTGAGCACGTCGCACATTACTAAAGTAGAGGTACACGTGTGCTCTCATGCCCCTCAGTCTAGTCGAGGCCTCTTGACGCCTGGTGAGAACACGTTAATTATTACCTGTGAATTATGACAGATTGATCAATGGCTAATTTTATTCGAGGGTGGTCAGCTTAATAAAAAAGTGTGTAGATCCAGGTTTATGGTGTGTGTTTAATTACGTTGGGAGAGAAGTGGTTGGGAGTTGGACGAACGAAAGTATTTAGTATTGGTTGATTGTCAGCAGATCTTAAGTTTGTCGTGTGTGGAGGCGGGGCGGGCCATATTGATTGATGATGTGAGGTAGCAGGTTATGATGATGGTGTTGTGTCTGCCTCGGTTGCCAGGTTGCCGTTAGCGCCTCGGTGGCGAATATCGCGCAGTTTCCTATTCCGATGACGCAGTGTTGTGAAGGCGACGCCTGAATAGAACGCCGAGTCTCCCTCTCGTCTTTAAAGGGTGGGTGTGTGTGGAGCGGCTACCACCTCCTGGCCACCATCTTAAAGATAATCTCTCTTGTTTTATTGGTAAACTTATGTGTGGAGTTATTTTGGACAGTGGTTAATATTCATCAATTGTAATTGTGAGCCTCAGGAGGGAGTTACTGTCAGGGCGAGTGTTTTAAGTGTAAATATTGGACTAGAGTTAACATTGACAGCCTTGTATCACCACGGCAAATACTGGTAATTAACCCAGTGTTATTTCGGCCATTAAATACGACTGCTATTAAGCTTAAGAAATAATGACCTGTTAAATGTTTCCTTTGAATATGATTAATCCTCTTTGAACACTTTTCATCCGATAATCCACTGGTAATCATACATCAGCCCGTAGTGGTGAAAGGTTACTTGTGTGTGCAGGGAGAGAGCCTAGAAGATAGACGGGGATGTAATTGGTGCTTGGTATTTTGACTGGCGGCAATTTGTTAGGCCGCGGTGCCCTCCTTTGCTCCCCGGGTGCCACTTGTGCCACTGCCGCTTCATCCATTACTGATTGATGCGACTGTGTGTCATCCCGGCAGTTACTGTATCTCTCCCCTGAGCTTCTTGATGTTGTCTGTCGGTCTGCTTCTTGTCATTCCCTCCATACCTCCCTGTCCCCTTCCCTCCCTCCCTCCCTCCCTCCCTCCCTCCCTCCTCCACTGCTAATACAGTTCATTCATCTTAAGTTTATTAAAAAAATGATTAAAAAAAGAAACGATCTACATGACGAAATTAGCCAAGTGACATCTTGATGGGTATGGGACGCTGGCAGGGGGGGGGGGCGCGTAAATGAAGCCAGGACGACAACGCTCTTGAGGGAGAGGGAGGATAGGGAGGAAAGAAGTGAGCGAGGATAGGGGAGGGAAAGAAGTGAGCGAGGATAGGGAGGGAAAAAGGGGAGGGGAAAGGAGTGAGCGAGGATAGGAGGGAAAGGAGGAGCGAGGATAGGGAGGGGAAAGGAGTGAGCGAGGATAGGGAGGGAAAGGAGCGAGGATAGGGAGGGGAAAGGGGAGGAAAGGGTGAGTAGGGGAGGGAAAGGAGTGAGCGAGGATAGGGAGGGAAAGGAGAGTGAAAGGAGGATAGGGAGGAAAGAAGTGAGCGAGGATAGAGGGAAAGGAGTGAGCGAGGATAGGGAGGGAAAGGAGTGAGCGAGGATAGGGAGGGAAAGGAGTGAGCGAGGATAGGGAGGGAAAGGAGTGAGCGAGGATAGGGAGGGAAAGGAGTGAGCGAGGATAGGGAGGGAAAGGAGTGAGCGAGGATAGGGAGGGAAAGGAGTGAGCGAGGATAGGGAGGGAAAGGAGTGAGCGAGGATAGGGAGGGAAAGAAGTGAGCGAGGAGAGGGTAGGGGAGGCAGCTGGAGAGGGTCATTGAAGTATATCTCAGTCGTATTAGGAACTTTTTTTTCTTGGAATTTCATAATGTCAGGATGAAGGGGGGGGGGGTAGTTCCGACAGCATTACAAATCATTTCTGGAACCACGAGGGATATATCCGACTTTATTATCAGGTACCGTGTATATAATATTTGGGGGGAGCTAAGGATGGTTATTCTGAAATAATGAAGAAGGATTTTCCACAGTACCGGGAGGCATATTGTGGAGCAACCGAGGGATATTTCCGACTATTGTGAAGGATATTTTTGCCACAAACGAGGGATATTCTTGAGACCTCCTGGCGATGTTTTCAAAGGTGGCTGCTGGTCCTCCGCCGCTTTTTTCATCGTCTCTTTTCTCCTCTTTTTTATTCTTTTTATTTTTACACTAGTTGTAGTTAACAGTGGAGTGTGAAATACTGCGTGTGTATAATATTGACTAATATAGTGTGTGTAATATGAGTGATATCGTAGATAGTCGGTAGTGTTGTGTAGGCGACAGGTGTGTCTTAATTATTTCTCCCCGCAGGTGAGATAGAGGGTGACGAAGCAGGCCTGGTGGCCGGGGGACTGAAGCGTGAGTCGTGATGGTCTCTCTTCTGTTATTACCTGTGTGTGTGTCTGTGTTAGCTGTATGTGTGTGTGTGTATGTAATGAATGTGTGAGTGTGTGTGTGTTAGCTGTGTGTATGTACTGTATGTATGTGTTAGCTCTGTGTCTATGAATGAATGCATGTGTGTTAGCTCTGTGTGTATGTATGTGTGTGTTAGCTCTGAGTGTGTGTGTATTTGTTAACTGTGTATCTACAGTATGTGTCCGTGTTTGTTAGCTGTGTGTGTTTCTGCATTTAACTGTACGTCTGTATGTGTGTGTATATGTATTAGCTGTGTATGTCATGTTTATGTATTAACTGTGTAGGTGGTTACATGTTTGTGTTATATATTAATGTGCTTATATATATTTTCTTTGGTATTACCCGTGTATTAGTACGAGTTGTGTTCGTGTGTGTTTTGATTCCATGCTTCCTATTGTTAATAATCAGTCGTGTACATGTGTGTGTACTAGTTTGTCTTGGCTGTGTATACATGACTGTCTGTGTGGCACTTCCTATGTTTGTGTATTTAGTTGTATTTGTTCCGTATATATATCTGTGTATGCTGTTTTGTGACTGCATGTATGTATACGCTAGTTTTAATTTATACGAATTATTAGCGCTAGTTGTCATCTCTGTGTTTGTTTAGTATAATTGTGTATTTGTATTAGTATTTATGGTATAATTGTATTCGTCTGTTCGTATTGTAGTTGTAATTGTTTTTGCATTAGTTTTTGTTGTATAATTGTGCGTGTAACAGTTTTATTATGTAATTGTTTTACTGTATAACTGAGTTCCATTATTGTTAGGCTGCTCTAGTGACAGATTTATAAGGTGTGTGTGTGTGTGTGTGTGAGAGAGAGAGAGAGAGAGAGAGAGAGGGAGAGAGAGAGAGAGAGAGGTACTGCCACATACATCACGGGAGAACTAACACCACGACATAGCTGAGATTAAACCGTGTATTTGTTCACAGCAGCAGGTCTAGCTACAGCCCTCACCTACCCTGGCTATTAAAACCAGCTATTGTCATTGATAAAGAATCTCCTCAACCTTCACTTGTGGGGAATTGCTGTATTCTAGACCGTTGAACCATGCTTGTACAGAGGGAGTAACTGTGCTGTAGGCGGACAAAGGTAGAGCATTATAATACTCTGTATAGCTGAGGAGTTATGAGCCTATTGATGGGCAAACGTGCACACGGTCTCAACCCACCAGGCCGTGTGTAAGGTCAGTTATTATTATTATTATTATTATTATTATTATTATTATTATTATTGTAGCTGCTACTGCTATTATTGTTACCGGTACAGTATTAGTATTGTTATTATTACTATTTTTTTTACTTTTATTATTTTAGTATTACTATTATTTTATTACTATTATTGTTGTTATTATTACTATTATTGTTGTTATTATTACTATTATTGTTGTTATTATCATCTTTATTATTATTTATTATTACTTCTACTACTTTGGAGAGCTGTTGTTAAGACGAGTAAAACAGCATGACAGAATGTAATCAACCAAGACGAATCATATCCTACCTTGTGTCGACCAGGTGAGGTGTTTCTCTTGTGTGGGGTCACGTGCAGTAGCCCGGCGTGGCTGTTGAGGCCAAGTGTACATTGTTGTGTCGTTTATAATCTGGTCATATTTTTATCCAACTGTGTAAGACTGAAAAAAAAATACCCTCATGAATACACAGTGTTGGTTAAATATAGGAAGGACTCGGGCATAGTTGATGATGCTCGATTGTGTTTGGCTGAGACTGTGTGTGTGTGCGTGTGTGTGTGTGTGTGTGTACGTGTGTGTGTGTACAATTCCTTTTATTTATAGCTAAATTGGGATTTAATGTGGGTGTGGGTCTTTAATTTGTGAACTGGGTCCTTAATTGTAGGGGGTGGTTCTTTAAATTTTAGGGGATGGGTCCTTTAGTTAGACTGTAGTAGCATGAATGTACACAGCGAGGATGGAGATACGTAGTTTTATACAAATTTAATGAAGTCATAACTACGTATTGAAGGTTGAGTTTTATGTAACTTATATATTGACTATGATGAAATTGATCACCTAGGGTCCTTTGTGTGTGTGTGTGTGTGTGTGTGTGTGTGTGTAATTAAGTTAGGTAAAAAACTGTCCGCCAATCATAATTAGCATCATAAAACATTCAAGGATTAGTGGATTATTTAAATAACTCGACGCCTCAATGGCATGGGATATACAACGAACAAAATATTTTATACCAAGTGTTTAAGAGCGCCCTGATGAAAGTGTGGTACATGTTTGTGTCCACATCAGAATATCCGTTGTCAATTTATACTGTTGTGTTCAGCCTTGTTGATATCTTGAAAATTGTACTTGTTAAACATCGGTGGCTACGTAACTAGTTAGAAGAACGAAAAAGTGGAAAAATACCTTGAACGATAAGGAACCATTCGTACTTTTGTTTCTTGTTCGTGTGTGTGTGTACATTTTTGTGAATGGTGTTTTGTGCAAGTTGACACTGGTGTATAAGGAGTCAGTATTGTTACAATTGTGTATGGGTACACGTAGTATGAATTGGTGTACGAGTGTGAGTAGATATGCATTGTTGTATTGTGTACAGTTCGTGTTATTCTACACATGTGTTGTGTGTACTGGTGGGTTTGTAAGTTTACCTGTAGTACATATTAGTAAGGTAGGTAGTAGAACACACAAGACAAAAAATGTCCCAGGCTGTGTACCATTGACTGTGTTGTGTTAGGTAGAGCAGGTGGGCCAGATAACTGAAGAAAAAAAATAGTATTATTACTTAATATCAGGTGCGCTGTGTACAAGTATTTATTGTGTAAATAGACGAGTGTGTTGCATATTTTGCATCCTACAAATTGTGCAACATTTTTCGAATGCAACAAATTCTTGACAAATTTGCCAGTACGCTTGAGGATTACACTCATTGATGTTAATTTAACTTTTAACCAAACAACAGCGACAACTCTTAGCAGCGGGCTCCCAGTAAGTGACACAAAGCCCGCCAAAATGTAAAACAATCATGCAACTTGCAGCACAGGAACGTGTCGTGAGATACTGCAACATTTTCACTTCGGAATGTTGCATTCACTTTGTAAGCTGACAGAATTATAGTTGGTGTATGTGGGAGGGTGTTAGCAGTGGGATGTAGTGTGTTTCATAATACAACCCGCACGTCAGTGTGGGAATTTCACGATGGCAAGAGTTTTATTGATGTGTATCGGTGAATGAAGTCCCTGGTATAGTGTGTGTAGATGTAGGGCTCTGTATTGTGTAGGAGATTGTGAGGACCAGTTTTGTTTGGTGCTTGAAGGCAGCGTATCTGATGCAGGGAGATAGAGTAGTCTGTGGTGATGTGGTCAAGATACTGAGTTATATTTAGGAGATGTTTGTGTGGTTGTTGAGTTTTATAGATATTACGATGGTTCTACCTGAGAACAGTTTGTTTGGTACGGGTGTGTATGGCGGTATTGGTGGAGGAAGTGTGGTGGTGGTGGTGGTCGTAGAGGAGCAAGGGAGGGAGGACCTGTCGTCAGCGGAACTCACCCTATTCCCGGATATGTCGCGTCGTCACCACACAGTTTTGGCCCGCGACCCAGTCCGGAGATTTGCTATCTCGGGGTTGGTCTTGGCGTCTCGCTGCTGACGAAGGAATGGTGTCAGGGATGCCTCTCGAGTCTTGCTACTTGCTGTTAGATAGTCTAGATATAACCTCCCGTGTTAACGTACGTACACAGATGAAGATAAGCGATACTGTCTTGCCCGAGGTTCAGTGTACTCTATAGCTAACTACTGCAATCGTTATTATGGTTCTCTTTCGTACTTATAATGTACTACCTCATACAAGTACAGGATAACACACCACCACATTGTACAGCACCTCCACGATAACAGGTCCTATGTGGCGGGTGTGGTAGCAGTACACAGGTCTTGATGGCGTCGTGTCCTGAGGTTGGGTTCTGGCTCCCAAGAAAAAAATATATGGACAATATTAAATCCTTTACGGTTTCATATAAGCTGCAACTTGTGCCTTGATGGTGTGGGTGGTGGGGCTTCTCGGGGTAAATAGCCGGAATACTTGTACTTAGGCGAATTAAATGGCCGGAATCTTCGGTCTTCTTTGTTTTAATGTCTAAAATACCAAGATCTTTACGACTTAAATGTCGGTCTTCTTTGATTTATTTAAAAAGAAAAGCTTTAATAATTTGGAAACTTTGAAAACAAAATGTCAGTTTTTTTTGGTTGACTACATCACCTCGGTGTTAGAGGACCCCGGAGATTACTTCATTAAATGCTGTAAATATAGTAAACGAGATTTATTAAGGATATTGTTGTTTTTATTTGAAGAAACAGTAAGGAAAAACAGCCTCGTTAATATCTGGATCCTGAAAATAAAAATGATTTTCGATACTCATAAGAGGAGCAGTAAAGTGAAGAAAACGTCCTGATATAACGGCGGGTGGAGGAGGGGATGCCAGGGAAGAGGAGATCAGGGAAGAGGAGGAAGGAGAGAGAACCGGGAAAAGTGGACGGGGAGGCGAGACCACGAAAGATAAAGAGGAGGAGAAGGATAGACGGGGAGTAGAAATGATGAAGAAAATGATGATTTTAAGCAATGTAGGAGAAGACTGTAAGGTGATGGGAAGAGGAGGGAGGTATGGAAACGAGTAGGAAAGAGAGAGATTGGGAGGAGGGAGGGTGGGTGGGTAGAGAGCGAGAGAGAGAGAGAGAAGAGAAGAGAAGAGAAGAGAGAGAGACCCCCACATAAATCAGATTGTTTGTGTTGGCGTGAGTTCATAAACAATTAAACAGTGGCAGTAGTAAAATGAGCGGCTGTTTAGAGGACATTACCATCGAATATTCCTCTTGATGATGACGTCCGTGTGTTGGTTTAGTTTGTATTTATTGTAGGGAGACAAACTTGCCGAGTCGGTGGTGTTGTGTTTGTGATTCCTTATTTAGGTGTTTTATTAAGG